CACAATAAATCAGTTGTCGGCAAAATGAATTTAATCAAGCCAATAGGCAATACCTGATTGGAATGAGATTGTTTGTAGAAAATTTGTAGAAAATGCGAGATCGAAAAGATGGATATGTCGACTGAAAGCTCGGTCCTTTTCCAAACATTCAGCCAAATTGGCCAAGAACTTATTACTCTAATACGCTATTTAATAGTATTAAATTTTCTTGCAATTTTGTGAAATATGATACCATAGGAAACTCGAAGCACATGTGCGTGTTGATTGTTGATGCGTCTGCGCTTCATTTTATAATTTTGTAAAGCCAGTAAAGGTCTTAGAAATTACACCTAACGGTCTTATATACAATGAGAAATACGAAGATGATTTAAAAGAATGGACAGTAGCAAACAAAAACGCAAACGGAAGAGAGAGAAACTGACGTGTTTAGTTTGTAATCGGTCGTTTGATGACGATTGGATGTGCTTTTTTGACATTTATACCAGGTATTTTAAGGAACTATTTCGCCTATTTAAAAAATAAATTATCTTACTACTCGGATTTCATCGTTATACATCACTTAAAAATGAATACGGTTCGTTTTGACCACGCCCTAACAACGTGCTAGCCACTCCCTTTTGTCGGCAAAAAGTTGTCTTGCACCCCCCGAAAAGGATAGTCTTCGCTCCGCCCCTGCGCATAATGACATTTTGAAAACGCAATATTTTACCTTGATAAAATATTTTTAAAAACAAATACAGAGTGTTAATTACCAGTTATGAAATAAATACATGTACAAGGGCAATTTTTAAGTTTTTTAGATACGTATTCGTCAAGAAAACTATACTTTTCAGAAAACTCATTATGCGATGTGATGTCACACCGGTGATATTTGCATACGAAACAAAGTTGGATATTACGAAAATTCTATCAAATAAATTATTAAGTCATTTTAAGTGATCTTTACGATGCAACCATAAACATTTGGGGTGAAATTTCATGTCATAGGCACTGTAAGGTATATAAATATCCCATAAAAGTTAAAAGTAAGTATCTAGATATAAAAAATTGCACAACTGTTCGACGGTTTTCGTTTTAAAACGATTTGTTTTACATTTATAAGGAGCTAGTTTATTCGCACCGTCGTGTTTAGAGCTAGGTATATATTGGACAAGTTCAGCCACTGGCACTGCATGTACCAGACTTCTGCTGAACGTTTTTCTTAAAAAATGACAAGCATAGAAGATTTCGTCTGGAAAGTAAAGTTGGTATATTATGCTTTACCAATGCGTCATTATATGATAGAGATAGGTCGATAATTCTCATTGCTCTCAACTGGATTCTTTCTACTTCCGCCGTAAAGAACTGCTTATGGAGAAAAATCCTCTTAAAGACTTTCTTGGTTGCTTAATTCGCTAGCTGCAACAAATCCCTGAGTACTTTGATTAAAAAACTTGAGTACAATTATGACGGCAAATTTACTATGCACTCAATTTTTGAGTACAGTAAATCTTTACTCAAGCTTATACTAATAGATTTGAGTAATTTTACTCAAAATTAGAGTAGCAACGCCAAACTCCTAGGAATGATCATTTCAAAGGATCTGAAGTGGAACGAATGAACATATTGAAAAAATTACATCAACGGCAGCTAAGGGACTATATACCTTTTAAAGCAATTAAAACGAGCAAACGTAACGAAGACCTTGTCAGATTCTACTGCTCTTGCAAAGATCCGCTGTTATATATGGAATATGCGTGTCAGGTCTTTCATAGTAATCTGCATGCCATCATATTTGTCGAATTAAATCGAAAGGATTCAGAGACAAGCAATGTATGTGATCTTTCCAGACCTGAGACTAAACTTTCCAAACTTGGTGGAAAAATTGACCAGTGATTTATTTATACTGTTAAGAATTATGATAATCACTAATGTATCTCGGAAACTGACGGAATGAGGATCCTAGAACTTTGGAAATTCCGAGGTGTAAGACAGATCGGTTCAAGAAATCATTCATAGTACATTTCACTGACATTTTTAACTTAGATTCGTAATCGTATAATCTCGTAAATATAACATAAATTTTACGCAATTCATTGTAAGAGTTTTTCGGTGTAATGGACCATTCCCCAATTAACCAAAATTTTGATCTCAACAAGTTTAGACAAAATTCCATCATAGCATGAAAGAGCATCACAAAATTAGTAATATTCCAAAGTTTCGTTGCGAAATGTTGTAAAATGCAGATAATATAGCCTTGCGAAATTTGCAATTTTCAGTCACTTTAGATTACAAACGGGAAATGGTTACCACTTTTCCAAAATTTTGATCTTAACTAGCTTAAACAAAAATTTCATCACAGCTTGAAAGAGCATCACAAAATTAGTAATATTCCAAAGTTTCGTTGCAAAATGTTGTAAAATGCGGATAATATGGCCTTGCGAAGTTTGTAATTTTCGGTCATTTTGTATTACGCACAGAAGTGGTAACTATTTCCCGTTTGTAATCTAAAATGACCGCTGAAAATTGCAAACTTCGCAAGGCTATATTGTCCGCATTTTACAACATTTCGCAACGAAACTTTGGAATATTACTAATTTTGTGATGCTCTTTCAAGCTGTGATGAAATTTTTGTATAGGCTAGTTAAGATCAAAATTTTGGTTAATTGCATGGGGAATGGCCCATTCAGTCTCGGATTTCTATCAATAGTTTGAGTCACTGTGTATGAGTGCATTGTTTTACTCAGGATTTGAGTAAAAATGTTTGGTTGACAAATTTAGAATTGCATGTCTGTGCCAGTGTAGGTATAGTATACCAATAATAACAAAGGGCTTTTGTTCATAGGGATGCAAGTCATGCAAGGAGAAATTCGACGTTTCGAGCGAATGCCCATCATCGGGAAGTTATAATAGCGGGGGTCGGGGAAACTATAACTTCCCGACTAACTATATCCGACGAAGAGCCTTCTCTCGAAACATCGAATTTCTCCTTGTATTTTTCAGCTGGTTACATCTGTACTAACGTGAAAGCTTTGGTTGACAAATTTGGCCGTTGAAAAATTTGGTTTGACTGCCTTTTTACACCAAATTCTGGTTGAATAATGTGATAATTTCAATGTCGTATTGTCATTGATGACAATAACAATATTCAGTAATTATCAATATTATTTACATGCATATAGTTATATTTATAATGAATAACAAGCTACATACTGTTAAAAATCCACTCAATGAAACTGAAAATTTATAATTTGGATTATAATTTTCACTGATATTATGATATTATTTACTATTATTTGACGCTGTTGTTACGGGAGAGATTACAAAATGTTAGTTAAAGGTTTTATACCGCATTTAGTGTACTCTGCATGATATGTTTTCTGTTTTTGCGATCGTCGTGTTCCGTCTCAGTTTTGTTCTGTTTGGAAAGTAATTACAATAAGAATAAATAGTCATCCTGTTTTTCACAATATCTGCAAGAGAAAGCTTATATAAAGACCGGTAGGATTGGACCAGTTTCAAAATTGACAACAGCGATTTCAACAGTGCAGAAGATTTGAAGAATCAATAACCAAGTCGATTTCAAATTTTCAATTTGGTGCGCTCTCAAGAAAATGGCTCACAAATCAGTCCTTGCCGTGCTTTTGTTGATCTGCATTGCAGCGACTATCGAGGCGGGAACGTCCCGTACGTACTTAGCTCGTATAACTTTGGGCTCAGGACATCTTAGAACCGGCTGGGGAACATACGGTCGAACTTTCAACTACCATGTTCCGAAAGGAGCTTTTCATGTTTCTTTGCATCATCGTATACACAGGGGAAGTGGTTACGCAACTTTAAGTTGGACTCGAGGGAGCTCAAACGCCAAAGTTTATGCTTATGCCAAAGGTAGCTTTTTTGGCAGCCGTATTTCCTGGACGGTTACGGCATCGATTTGGAAGAATTCCGGCTAAGAGAGGTCGCTTTGTGACGGACTGTGTGTTTTCTGGAATCGAATAATTACGGACAAATGAAAGTCAAACTTTTTATAGTATGCACCTGAACTGATTAATCGAAACTGCTTCACTAGTGATTTAGACTATATAGGGTCTCAATGACCACAACACTCATGCACAACATCAGTATTGGTTAATGCATGTAGATTAATGATGTAACTTAATGATGAAATGTTTTCAAATGTAATACAATTATGATCAATGAATTGCATAAATGCCTCCTATTTTATTACTCTTCTCTGGTCTCGCCGCGGTTATATATATGTATTGAAGAGCATCGATTACGTGTTTCGGTTACTGCATGTCTTAGCCTATATAATATTTGTGGTAGTTTCATAGCATAATTGAAAAGCAGCCCCTTTAACTCCTTTATGTTAGAAGTGATGTTTGCTTGCGCATATAGAAGATATTCTAGACTGCCTCCTTTGGTTTTGTTTCATGAACGGAAAAGGGAGTTTCTATGAATGTCACATTCCAGCTAGGTCTTTGAGTTGGGCATATAATCATGGTATGCGACAATATAAAGGAAAACAAAGGCTTTGCTCAATTTGTGTTTGATAGTTATTAATCATATAGTTAAGTCTGTTTCCAAGGAGCTTAGGTGGCGACTATAAATTATATTGTAGGCAGTAAGTGGATCGGTGTATTTCTCTCTTGAAAAACTTGGTCACGCAGGAAATAGATAATAAAGAACAGCAATTCGTATTAAAACTTTTGCCTTTGGGATCATTGTTAAGTCTGTTTCTAGGGAGTTTAATTGCATTGAGTATATATATATAAGTTACCTGTATGGAATATACCCACGAGAAGAGAGTTTGATGCATGAATTTTATCCATAAATTTTCACTGCATGATATTCACTTGCACCTAACACTACTATAGTATCAGTTTTGGTTTGTGCCGGTGTCACAGGAGATTCGCCCCCCCCCAGGAGATTCGCCCCCCTCTCAAAAGGGGGGCGATATTCCTAGGATATTCGCCCTCCCGGGGCGAATGTCCTAGGAATATCGCCCCCCAGGGGGCGAATCTCCTAGGAATATCGCCCCCCTTTAGGAATTTCGCTCCCCCCCATATTAATTTTGAATTTTTGATCTAAAAACAAAACGATTGCAAGTTGAAAAGATTCATTGCGTGATTTATTTATTACAAGGAGATAAAATTACATACAATAGCCGCCACAGTAATCACTTGCTAACAATAAACTATAGGATTAATAAAAAATCTATATGGAATGTGTTGGGAAGCGTATTGACTATTGTCCGTTGAATCATCAACTTTCCATGTCAGTGTTAGTGATGTAATCTTGATTCTTGACTTCCGCAAAGAAAATTGCATGATATATGTGGTGTGGTTTATTCAAATAATTTCATGATATTTTGATTTTATTATAGTGCCTTAAACATTTGAGAATGTAACTCTGCGAAACTAAAAGCTTTTTTGTCTTTTTTGAAACGAATATTATTGGAGTATTGCCTATTGGCAAGTTCTACCCTTCGCTTCTGAGATTTACAAACTATATTGAAATAACGCAAGTAAAAAATAGTGGCAGCTTATAAGCCACACATTTTCCAACTGAACAACAAAACGCGGATGCAAAACAATACCAATAATTACAATAACCACCACGGTGATTACTTTTTAACAATGAGTTTAAGGATTAACACTGAAAATGCAAAATATGCATGGTGTGCTGTGAAGCGTCATAAGTCCTATTGAGTATTGATCTACTGTAACTGTGTAAGCCCTTTCTTTTGCGCCTAAAGGGGGGCGGAATTCCTAGGATTTTCGCCCCCTGGGGGGGGGCGATATTCCTAGGAATTTCGCCCCCCGGGGGCGAAAATGTAGGGGGGGGCGAAAATCCTGGGACACCGGAAACAAACTAAACTAACGACGACTATAGATTATAGATTTTGTCAGAAATTAATAGACAACTTGCATGTTAGACAAACTTTTGATCTAGGCAAAAAAAGTAAATTCCCGTAAAGAACTCATTAAAATTAGTAAAATTGCAAAATTTGGTTACGAAATGATATAAAATACGGGAAATATAGCCTTGCGAAGTTTGCATATTTTTGGATATGTTTGTCAATTATGTGCGGAAATTGTTACCATTTTTGAGCCGAAAATGGTAACAATTTCCGCACGTAATACAAACATACACAAAATTTGCAAATATTGCAGACTATATTTTCCAAGCTTTACAACATTTCGCAACCAAATTTTGCAATTTTACTAATTTCATTATGCTCGTGTGATGTTACTCTGAGTGTATATCCACACCGGGCAGGCTTGAAAAAATATGCCTAGCCACGGTGTGTAACATCACACTCAGAGTAGCCGTCACACAAGCATCTTATCCACCTGAGTACATTACACCAACACAGCAAATATCATGATTATTAGATTACACTGATATCGAAGGAACTAGACTCAGTTCCGAAATATCGCATACTCGAACCGACTTGACCGCGTAGCTCAGTTGGCAGAGCATTGGGCTGGTATTCCCTTTCGATTCCCACCGTGGCCAGGCATACTTTTCAAGCCTTCCCGGTGTGGATATACACTCAGAGTAACATCACACAAGCATCTTATTCACCTGAGTACATTACACCAACACAGCAAATATCATAATTTCATTATGATTTATGTTCTTTTTAGCTGTTGTGTTTGATTCCCTTCTCTTTGCTAGATTAAAATTTATAGTTTACTACATGCATGGAAGTTGTCCATTGCTATATACTAAAGTTTTTGCTTGTTTATGGTATCAGAGTTGTAGACTCGAGTCGTGTGACTTGGACTCGAGTCGCAATTTTTATGACTTGTGACTTGACTTGTTAAAGAGACTGATGACTTGTGACTTGACTTGGACTTGCAAGAAATGACTTGTTACCAACGCAAGTCAAACGTAAATATCTAGTGAAAATCAAGTTTTCCAAAATCTTTGTGTTGATCGATCGATCGTCGTGTTGTACAATTTGGGCAACGACCTTAGTACATATCAATGGCATCGACAAAATTTGTGCCGGCGTATTTTCTGACAAAGCGTTTTTTTCGCGATTTCGTGGTAAAATCTCTGACATAAAATAACGACGCCATATTTACATATTTTGCCGTTTTGCGTGGGAAAACATGGCCACATGTGACGATAAAATGACTTGTGACTTGACTTGAATTGACTTGCCACTCGGGAATGACTTGTGACTTGACTTGACTTGGATTTAGACAAAATGACTTGTGACTTGACTTGAATTCAGACCAAATGACTTGTGACTTGGACTTGTAGGAAATGACTTGTGACTTGACTTGGACTTCCTGCCAGAAGCCCTATATGTAGTTGTATTTTTCGTAACGTACTGCTCCTGGTTAGGTCTAAGAAATGTATAAATTTACACTCGATAATAGACCTTTCCCCTTATAACCAAAATTTTGATCTAGGCAAGTCTAGACAAATATTTCATCACAGCTTGAAAGAGCATCACAAAATTAGTAATATTCCAAAGTTTCGTTGCGAAATGTTGTAAAATGAGGAAAATAGCCTTGCGAAGTTTGCAATTTTCAGTCATTTTGCATTACAAACGGGAAATTGCAGCCCCAACACCCGAATCGGATGTCAATTTCCCGTTTGTAATACAAAATGACTGAAAAACGGCAAACTTCGCAAGGCTCTATTTTCCTCATTTTACAAGATTTTGCAACAAAACTTTGGAATATTACTAATTTTGTGATGCTCTTTCAAGCTTTGATGAAATTTTTGTCTAGATCGAAATTTTAGTTATAAGGGGAAAGGTCCATTTCCATCTACAATTAAGACTCTTCACATAATGCACAACTTAGTAAACTGTTAAAAATCCACTGAATGCGCCGTAAAATTATTAATTTGGATTACGATTTTTTATTTGTTATAAAATATACTTGCACGTTTTACAATTATTTCACGTTGCTGTTTATACTATACTCTCTATACTATACTCGATTTTGTAAAATCGTTGTTGAAGTTTTTATCGCATCCATTCAATCTACTACGCCGTTCTAGATTTGGCGATTGTTCGGTCGTGTTCCGTCTTAGCAAGAGCTGTGTATGTTAGCATGTGCATAGACCGCTTTAAGGGGGATTTCCGGTCCTTGCGGCAATTTGCCCCTGCCCCCCCCCCCTCGGCGGCCTTGATCCTGATATAATTGAAGTAGCCTAGCTTCGTCAGGTCTTCCTCCCATATAGTTCTTTAACTAGTGTAAGAAATTCACTTAATTGCGCGCTCGTTTGGAATATTGGTCTTGCGGAAAACCGTTTTAAGTATTTGGTACGTCTCTCGTCGACTTCGCAATAACAACATGAAAGCAATAATTGCTTTTCGCCAAGCGCCATTTTGAACTTTGTCTTTGAACTTTTCCCGCCACCACTTAGCCTGCGAACGGGCATGCCATGAGCTACAAGATTGGCCGTGTGGACGAGTACTCGCAGCAAGCTGCGACAGCCTTAAGGAACCATATTGTGTGTATTTATATTCTATATGCTAATTATAAATTCTTTGGGAAATTAAAGTTGTTTATCAGTCAAGGAACTGCACGACGTTTATATATCTCCTATAGAGAAAGGCTTATTGGGGAACTATTATACTCCAAGCATATGGGAACTGTTTATATTATATACTTTAATTTGACCATGACAATTTAACGTTTTCATGTATTTATATTCTATTTAACGTACCCTCATTTATCCGTTGCTCACCCTGACGAAATTGCTTAGTCCATGAACCCTTTATTATCTATATATTGCTCAACGTGATGAGATTGGCCACCCTCTTTATTTATTGCTCATCATTAAAGTATATAATTAATGAGATTGCTCCCCCCTCATCACCCTTAAACACGCTCGAAAAACAGGCTCGAACCACGAGAATTAGAGGAATACCCTGTGCACTAGCTTAGCCTACATGCATGCACTTAGTCGTGTGTATAGTATATATAGTTTAGTGTATGCAGATTGATAGATAACCTTTATTTTGACATGATAATGTCGGTTTAAAGCTACAAGCATGTGGGGTCGTGTATATATATAGAGCTCCTGACTTATAGCACAAATTACGAATATAACTGACGACTCACGTATACCATGCATGCTAACATAATTATATTCGAATCCGAAAACTTTTCTTTATACAGGGTGTATAAAAAAAAACTGAACAGATTTGAAATTGCTCTCATTTTTGCAAAACACCTATTTGTATCTCGTTTTTTATATATATAGCTTCTTTGGGTACTTATAATGTAAAATAATGAGAGAAAAAATTCTCGAACTCAAATTATGTGAACCAGGGGGGGTGTCTTTTCCAACAAATTAAAAATGGCTCGCGCACAAAATTTAAAAACTGTAATCATATTTTGAGTTAATAGATTAAAAATTTGTCGGGTTTTTAATCACTGTACAAAATTTCAGACAATTTGGTTTAGTTTAAGCCTTTTAACTATTCATTTTGTTCTAAAAAGTCAGCCTTTCGCATGCTTAATAATGCCTTTATCTAATTTGCATATTGCTGACATATGCAAATTAGGCAAATGCATTAATTAAGCATGCAAATAGCCGATTTTTCGGGAAAATTGTAACTTTGCGTGAATAGTTAAGGGGCTTAAACTAAACCAAATTGTCTGAAATTTTGTACAGTAATTAAAAACCCGACAAATTTTCCATCAGTTAACTCAAAATATGATTGCAGCTTTTAAATTTTGTGCGCGAGCCATTTTTAGTTTGTTGGAAAAGACACTCCCCCCTGGTTCACAAAATTTGAGTTCGAGAAATTTTTCTCGTTATTCTACATTATAAGTACCCAAAAAGGCTATATATATAAAAAACGGATACAAATAGCTGTTTTGCGAAATTGAGAGCAATTTTAAATCTGTTCAGTTTTTTCATACACCCTGTATAGTATAAACTAGTAGGAGATGAAATCTTCTTGACCGAAGAAACATTATAATGAAAAACGTTGTAATGTTATATTGTAGTGCAAATTTCTGTGCACATTCTTCTCGGCTAAAGTGGTTAGCGCACTTGCCTTTCACCTCTAAGGCCGCAGGTTCAAATCTCAGTGAGAACTTCTCAATGTGACTCGAACCCAGTCCTCATGTGAAAAGAGTAAAAAGTCAACGCTCTGCCGAAAGTCGTGGGTTTTCTCCGGGTACTCCGTGTTTCCTCCCACAGGGAAAGTTGACAGGGTGGGTTAGGCACATAGGTCAGGGGGCAGGTCATTAATGAGGTACGGACTAATAGCGGCTGCTCAAGCGCCATTTGTAAGCTCAAAGTCTACCTCGGTCTACTTCACGTCAGTCCGGTTCTATCTATCTATCTATTCATAATGTAACCAGTCACTGAAAAGCCCTGATAGGGAGTGTGCTGCGAAATATCTGTAATTTGTATAATACCTTATTGAATTCTGATTGTTTAATTGGCTGTTTATGGTCACGTGATATTGAATAGAAAATTCCATTTCCCAACGTATAGTACAATTGCGAGTGCAATTGTACTATACGTTTTATTCCATTGCACTCTTTGTGTTTTCGATAAATCGCATCTGTCAAAATGCTTCTCGTACGGTGATCGCAGTTTATTTTAACCCGATATTCGAAACTCAGTAAATGGGATTTAATGCAAATACGACTCGTCAAAATGGCGGGAGCTTACAGTAAACCTTTTAATATTAGTCTATTTTGGTATTATATAAAACAAATAATGAATGTTTCTATTCGTGCAATGGTAAGAATATTTTCATTCCGTGAAAAATGGAATGTTCCATTCCATCTTTCACCTCATGAAAACATTCTTACCATTGCACTCATAAACATTCAT